CCCCCCACCCCGCAGGAAGCCAGAGCTAGCTCTATTTTTGCAGGAGGCTGTATTGCCAGAACTGCTCCTCATTAGGGGTGGGGGGAGCAAGGAGGGGCTGGGAATCTCGTTGTGGTGGAGGGGAACTGGGGAGTGGGGGGACTGGCAATGCTCCCACGATCGACCAATCGATCGCAGCTGACTGGTTGGTGATCACAGCCTTAGGGTATAAGTAATAAATGGATCCTCCACCAGTGGGGAATTCAGCAGTCAGCACTGTCAAGGATGGCTACTTCAGGTATAGGACTGAAGCCAACTCTCCTCCCACACAAAAAACAATATGCTCACAAAACAATACCATGCATTTTCTGCAATGTTGTTTTGGATGCTTCTGACTCCATAACTAAGAAGCTGATCCAAATGCCATGCAACATTTAGTGTTTAGTTCAAAGGCGGTACAGATTCTCAGCTTGAATACCAAACAAGAAGTAACAGAACTGATACCAAGAAGCAGCAAGATGGAGTAGAGAGGCTTCCCTGTGTCGTACATTTTCAATGACTGACAAATGCATTATATTATGAAGCCTACATCTGTGACTATAATCAGTACAAAAATGATTTTCGTTTTAAAATGAGCTTTTGCCATGGAGCTGGGACATGGGAAGCTTTTCATCACTTAATATGCAAGTTAGGAACCAAATAAGACTCCATGCAGAATCTCAAAATCACACTTAAATGACAAAACATGCAAATTGAGATAATAGTGTTGTCACTCCTTGAAATGCTATATGTTGTGCATCATCACACATATATTGGTGGTTTGACCTATGACAGAATGATCAGTTGGCACAAGGAGCACCCAGGGAGTGGGGTCAGGGTGCAGGACCTCGCTCTGCTAACCTGGCGCTTCAGCCAGGGAGTAGGATTCGGGGCTTGCCTGTTCCCTGGCTGGAGTGCCAGGTCGGTGGAATGGGATAAACTTCTGACCCTGCTCCCCGGCTGGAGTGTAGCAAGCTTCTGACCCTGCTCTGTGGCTGGAGGACCAGGCAGGCAGAGTGGGGAAAGCCCCCACGTCCCAACACCATTCACTGAACGTGTACCTGGAATCAGAGGGGACCCTGGTCCATGTCCATTGTCCTATGCAAGGACGGCAGGGAGGTGGTTCCAATTCCTTCTGCCCTATCCCTCCCCCTGCCATTGCTCCCCTACCTGAAGTAAGGACCCAAGCAAGTGTCCAGTCATAACTGTGCCACTGATCTGCACATTGTGGTGACAGCAATGCACATTATAAGTGAATTCATGCCATATATAAAAGTAAAAGGCAATAATTTATTGACTGTGCATAGCTAAAACCAGGGCCCCCCTAAAAGTGTAAATCAAAGCCTGAGTGTATTTGGGACAAAAAGCACTTTCAATGGAAAGAATCTTATGTTCTAATGTGTCTTCCCAGAAGGATTAATCAATATCTCTCTCAGAAAGTTTAGTGCAGGAATATAAAATATAATTCATGATTCAGTTTTCTAAGATACTTACATATAAAAATTACAGAATTATTTTTATATAGGCACCTCTCTGCTATAAAAGTCTGGTTAAATATTCATGGCTGAAGAGGTAAGTTAAGCTTGATGTTATTTTTCTGTTTCAAACATTTCAATTAGGGATGTTAATTAGCTGATTAAACACAGTTTGAGTAGTCAATGGAACTTTTAAATGTATTAAGAGCCATTAGTTTTTCCATCCTCCAGAATAGGGATATTAAATTTCGATTAATCAACTAATTGAGTGGTCGATGGAATGTCCATCAACTACTCAATTAGCTGATGGAGAGGAAGAGTGCTCACTAACCTGGATGTGCCTCTGCCTTTGAAATGTAGCAAGAGCCCCATGTTTCAAAGACAGAGGCGCAGCAGTCAAGACCCAGTACGACAGGGGACTGCCTGAGTCCCCGCTTGCACCGTTTCCCCCGCTGCACTTCTGCCTCCCATGCCCCTCCACAGAGATGGTTTGGGGGGGAACTGGCTTTTAAGCCAGCTCTCCCCAGCACTGGCTCCTATTCCCCCTTTTGCTGCCTCTGATACAGAAGCAGCAAGTTTGGGGAGAGAGGGGGGACGACTAGCCAAGTAGTGACTTGACTACCCGATAAACCCAGGTTTATCAAGTAGTCGACTAGTCGCTTACATCCCTAACCCAAAATCCTGTATTTAAAAAACCTGGTCTGTACACTTAGGGCCTAAACTTGCAAAAAAAATAATTTCTTCAAAGGAACTACGGTACTTGCTTGAGAAAAAGTTGCATCCTGAGAAGTCAAGACTTTTAGAAAAATCTGATGATTCAAGTATATATCTTAATATTCCTTTTTATTATGAATTTACCTTGGGTTAACTTCAAGATGATAATTGCTTGCAATGGTGCTCATTTCAATTTTCTTTTTAGAGGGTGTCTGTGTAAAAAACAAAAAGGAGTTAGATTTCAAAGCATCTTACTCTTAAAAAAAAAAAAAAGTCAGCTTTTAGATTTGAAGTATCATTGGCAGGTCTGGTAGCTTGGCAGCAGCATTATGACAGAAAACCTGAATTTAGGATAAGGCTCATGCCTCTTTCTCTCCATGTGACTGGAGGTCAGGAGTAGGGATGTTAAGGACTAGTCGACTATCCGATAAGCATTTGCTTATCGGATAGT